CCCCCCCCCCTATGATTTGCAGCCGGAACGGTTTGTCAATCTCGGGATCGAGCCCCCCAAAGGAGTTCTCCTCTTTGGCCCACCTGGGACAGGCAAAACTCTTTGTGCCCGAGCTGTGGCGAACAGGACGGACGCTTGCTTCATCCGAGTGATCGGGTCCGAGCTGGTGCAGAAATACGTGGGAGAGGTAGGGGATCACATCCAGGAACAGCTTGCAAGCTGGATTCTGTGGCTTTCGTGCTTGGTTACTCTCTAGATCAGCCTTTCTCAACCTGGCCGGCTTGAAGAGGGGTGGACTTCAACTCCCAGAATTCCTGAGCCAGCCACGCTGAGGGGAAAGTGAGAGATTTCCATGCTAAGCCATGCTGGCTCAGGAATTCTGGGAGTTGAAGTCCACAAGCCATGAGGGGCCCTAGTTCCTCCATGCTGGCTCAGGAATTCTGGGAGTTGAAGTCCACCAGTCATAAAAGGGCCATGTTTGAAGACCCCTGGTTTAAATATTTAAATATTTTTTCCTCACGGTCACGTGATCAAAATTCAGGCATTTGGGCAGTGGTAGGCAACCTTGGCTCTTTTATGACTCGTGGACTTCAACTCCCAGAATTCCTGAGCCAGCCACGCTGAGGGAAAAGGGAGAGGTTTCCAAGCTGAGCCATGCTGGCTGAGGAATTCTGGGAGTTGAAGTCCACGAGTCATAAAAGAGCCAAGGTTGCCGACCCCTGGTATAGGGTCTCCTGCTTGAGCAGGGGGTTGGACTAGAAGACCTCTGAGGTCCCTTCCAACTTTGATGAGGAGGAGGATCTTCACGACGGATGCGGAAACATCTGCAACTAACACAGCTTTAATGTATTTTTAAATGATTTTTGATCTCGGGCTATTCTGTCCCAGGTTCAAGTAGACCAAGGTAGGATCTGCTTTTGGACATTTTAAAGGGCGTCAGAGATCAGGGCGCAGAAGGGGAAAAATTAGCCACGTTTTCCTCCTCTTTGGTTTTTTAGGGGGCCCGGATGGTCCGGGAGCTGTTCGAAATGGCGAGGACGAAAAAGGCCTGCCTCATTTTCTTCGACGAGATAGATGCCATTGGAGGTTGGTGTCCATTTCTTCCATTCTTCGTACAACGTTGGTTAGGAGATGAGCAGGCTGATCCCGAGGGAACGTGTTGTACATCACGGGTCCCTTCGCACCCACAAGAGATCGAAATCCAGCCCACCTTGAATTCCTTTCTATTTTTAATTTTTAATTTCCCCTAATGGTGACTCGGGCAGATTCTTGTAGAGAACTGAAGCTTCAGCAATAAATGTTTATACTCCTTTGAATCTCCTGATCAGGGGTCTTCAAACTGGGCCCTTTGATGACTTGTGGACTTCAACTCCCAGAATTCCTCAGCCAGGCATGCCTGGCTTGAGGAATTCTGGGAATTGAAGTCCACAAGTCATGAAGGGGCCATAGTTCCCCCCATGCTGGCTGAGGAATTCTGGGAGTTGCACAAGTCATGAAGGGGCTATAGTTCCCCGATGCTGGCTGAGGAATTCTGGGAGTTGAAGTCCACAAGTCACGTAGGGGCCATAGTTCCCCCATGGTGGCTGAGGAATTCTGGGAGTTGAAGTCCACAAGTCACGTAGGGGCCATAGTTCCCCCCATGCTGGCTGAGGAATTCTGGGAGTTGAAGTCCCCAAGTCAGGAAGGAGCCATAGTTCCCCCCATGCTGGCTGAGGAATTCTGGGAGTTGAAGTCCACAAGTCACGAAGGGGCCATAGTTCCCTCATACAGGCTTAGGAATTCTGGGAGTTGAAGTCCACAAGTCATAAAAGGGCCAAGTTTGAAGACCCCTGCTCCTGATTTCCGGGGCACTGGACTCATTCGCTGCGAATCTTGTTTTTTTAATAATGTCAATGAAACTCTGCTTCTTTCCCAGGAAGCCCTTTCCTCTGTATAGCAACTCTTGCTCTGATTTGCTCTTCATTCATTTGCAAGCTACTAGTGCGAGCAATCCGTGTTGAAGCCTGGGATCCATAACTCGCCTCTTGGGTCAGGA